GGGGGGTTTCCCTTCCCTTGCCACCTCTGCTGCAGCCTTCCACCCTCCACCAAGCCCATAATCATCCGCATAGGCTGGCTTCGACCCTGATCCACGTAAACTCGGGGTTTGCCTTCCAGAGGAAGCACTTTTGGAAGAACTAAGGCTCTTCCGACTTTGATTCGGGGTGAACCCAAGATCAACCCTTGAGCCAGAATCAAGCGAGTCTGGTGTGGGCGCACGATCAACGAACCGTGTCATCGCAATTTGAGGGTTGGGTGCGAGGTTGAACTCGTCAAAGCGACTCGATCGAAGAGGCGCAAATCCTGGTCCTCCGGAATGGTCATTCTCTGTTCTGCCGCCACGATAATTCATTTCCGGCGGGATCCCAGCTGAGAGCAGACTCTCTTCCGACGCGTATTTCCTTAGGCCACCGCCCGCTGCCTTGCCTCGCGAGCCAGCACCGCCTGCATCTGCAGGACTGATAGGGCTCATACCAGGGCTTGGACTCCGCATGCGCCACTTTCCTCTCACATACACCATGTCCTCCATCAACGGGGCTGAGGATCCGACGACACCCTTCGTAGGATGCCGCGTTGGTGAAGGGTTTTTCGAGAAAGCCATCTCGAGCTCTTCACCCAGGATTTCCGCTGGATCGAAGTTTGGATCATTTCGATTACGATGACGGCCCCTGGGCTTGGTAAGATCTGATGGCGAGGGAGAAGAAGACGAAGACGAGTAAGGACTAAGTGGGCTTTTTGGGCTGAGCAGTTGCGGATCAGGAACGGGAATGGGCTGGACTGTAGCAGTAGATGCGTTGGCAAGAGGACTAGGGCTCGGTAAAGCTGTCCTCTCCACATAAACAAAACCCTTCAAGCGCAGGACTCTTGCTCCTTGGATTGAGTTGAGGTAGATCTGGGACCAGTTAGTAGAGAAGGAAAGCATGTATTTTATCAACTCACTCGGAGATGGAAGATCACCAGGCCCAACAGGACTCTGCATCCCATTTGAATCTGGACCAGTACTATAGTCCTCATCATCTTCAAACAAACTATTTCTTCTCCTTCTCGCATATCGCATCGGCGAAGGACTGCGTCGTTCTCTGGCCAACGAGACCCGAGATGAGGAGATTCCACTATGACCGATACTTGTATGACCTAGCGCGGAAACGGAAGCCGATGGCGCACCACCGCCAACGAGCTGTCCTGACGCACTGACGCCGAACCCATACTCTTCATCCAATATGTCAAGCTCACCGTCATCATACCCGTCATCGACGTATACCCGTTCGTCGTCTTCGTATCCTGGTTCAGCATATCCATAACCTATATCTATGGCTCTATCCGTTGAAGAGGCCGAAGTATCAGGAACAGAAGGAGACACATAAGCTGCTTCAACCTCCTTGAACAATCTCCTGCCCTCCTCGTCCGAATCATCTGAATTATCAGCTTCAAAGGGATGTGTATGCATCGGTATATCATCCACAACCTGTGGTTGGCGAGGAGCGTTATGCGGTAGATATTTATCATCCTTCGGGGGCAGTTTCGGAGCAGAAGATATTACTGGCGAGGTAACTACTCTGCGCACATTGAGCGGTAGCGGGGGCTCGACGTACATCGGCATCGGTGGCGTTGGAGACCATGCCACTGGACGGGGACTGGCGGTTCTGCTGAGGGAGCCTAGATCTGCGGGAAGACGCGGACTAGTTATACGTGGACTCCCCGCTGCCATCCGAGAGATGCTATTTGACTGATGACCAGGCATAAGCACAGGTGGATGTCTAGGGTGCAGGAGCGATAAATGGGGAAGGGATAGACGGGGCTGCAGGTGACATCGCTGGAGAGTTAGAGAACGACACTGGAGAATCCGACCGGAGGCTGTTGGGGTTGGTGAACGAAGATACACTCCCACTCTTTCTCACACCTCTCCCCTTTCCAAACTTTGCTATACTCCCAGCAGATTCCTTCTCCAAACTGGATATACTGGAGATTGACATTGTCTTTAACACCTCCTTTCCTTTGCCTTTCCATTTTGACACGCCGCCTTCGCTTATGCCACCAGCGCCTGATCTCGTAGAGGAATGAGATGACGCGATAGATGCTCGAGAAGGTCGATTCGACAAAGTTCCGGATAAAGAAGGCGGCAGACCGAGTTCACGATCATCGGAGGACCTAAAGCTATTGGTGTCATTACGCTGAGGCAGGGCAGCGTTCGCGTTGGTGATGACAGGCGACACGAATTGCTCATGAGGAGACGAATTCAAAGCATCATAAGTGCTGTCTCGCATCCTCTGCTTCCCCTTCCATTTTTCGCTTCTCAGTTCGTACGGCACCTCGTCTTCCGTAGGTGAGCTTGGTGCTGTGTCCCCACGTATCGGCTGCTTTCCCCTCCTTTTCTCCAGCCTGTATGCCAACTCCGCGTTGATGGGGTCGTTTAGGTTGAGGTCGGTGGAGGATGATCGGCTATGTCCATAACCAAGAGCTGCATGGTTAGATAATGCTGGATGAGGGGGAAGAGAAGGAGGTGCAGGCGCACTCAATGGTGATACAGTCTTTGTTGGTATCGTTGATATCGTTGATAGAGTAGAGATTGGTGTACCCATTGTTGGGGGAGGCGGTACAGGAAGGGGTCGATTCCTCGGACCCGCAGGCACTCTAGGTGAAGTAAAGTGGGAAAAATCCGAAGAAGCCGACTCTTGGGTAGCAGGTGTCGACACTGACGAGGAATAATAATCGTCTGAAAAGACAAAGGTGGGTGCAGTGGATACAGAGGAGGCAGTTCCAGTCGCAGATGACTGGGTGGCCATAGCCTGTGGACCTACGAGCGGCGAAGCGCGATAAGGTCTTTTGTTGGAAATTGGGTTGGAACGAGTGGTAGAGGATGCAGAGCCAGAGCCAGACGAGTTGGAAGTGGAAGAAGAGTTCGGAGCAGTATTTACGGCGGAAGCCGCATAATTCAAATTTGCGGTTGTGATGCGTATGGGCAGTGGGGAGGCTGAGCGGGATCCTATCTGGTGCGACGTGTGTGCGATCAACCCTGAGATTCCGCCAGATGATGGATTAGAAAAGTCTGAAAACGTTTCACCGCGTCGACGGCTTGGGCTAGTGCTACCAGTACTGTTGGCTGCAGCAACACTGCTGGGATACAGCGACGGTATCGTTTGAGCCCTTGCTTGCAAGGCTTCAAGCGTAGATCTTACAGCTTGCTCCTGCACATAACTAGGCTGAACAGGAGGAGGATCTGTAGGATTCGCGATATGTAACCTGAGGGTTGGTCGGGATGATGCCGACTGGCCTCTAGGCCTGCCTGCTTCTAATTCTCCCACTTGTTTCTGCGACCTCGAAGGCTGAATTAAAGCTGAAGGAGGAGGACTCTGCTGGGACAAAGTCTCGGCGGATTCATTCAAAGGAAGAAAAGCCGGGCGCTGGCGAGGCTTGGGACTCGCAACTTCTGAAGGATGTGGTTTATATGATGTGGGCGAAGGAGTTGGTGAATTTGAACCCAGGAATTCAGAATTACTCTTCTCCAATGAAGGCGAATGCAAGGTTGACACTACCGCCATTCGCTTGAATTCTACATCAAGTATATTGTATTATTGGTCTGCGAATCAGAAAGCAGGTAAAAGCAGAAAGACGCACCGAAATCCAAAGATAATAGCCCTCAAAAGACAGAAGAAAGAATAATTCCACTCCAAAGATGCACTGGCAAATGACATGCAGTAACCCGTCGGTTACAACTGAACAAATCAGGACATTAGGTAAATTGAACACGCCTTGGGCTCGTGGCTCACCTGTTCCAAACTTTTGACCTTCAAGGCCAAAAAACTTTAGAAGAAACCCACAACTTGGCACAAGAAATATCAGCAAAGATCCTGCAATTCCTTTAACCCCGGATCATTGACAAGGCGTTTATTGTGACTTGAACATACGACGCTGTTACTCTGAAACGCAGTCTTATTAGTCATGAACGAATTCCCTTCTGGTAATCCCTGCTTTCAATCCTTCAAAACACAAGGACAACCTGTCTTTAAATTTCCCAAGTTCGGATCCCTGCAACAAATTCCTTCTATGTACCATCCAAGCCAAGCATTATATCCGTCTTATTGCAACCTGTCTTCGTGTCTATGTAAGCACTCCTGTCGTAGCACAAGTCACGCCTTCATACCCGCCGCCCTCACCATCTCCTTAAGTACCAGCTGGCCCTGATCTTGAATGAATGATGATGGTCAACACTAGTACTTTGCAAGCCCGCAACTCAGCATCTTTTGATTCTGTTTGATCTTCAAGATAGAGTGTAGAGTTACCTTATCAAGAGCGTATCAGCGACGGCATCGACACACAGCTAGCTAAGCCCTACGCGGCGACAAGGCTACGTGTATCCGAATTCCAACCGCCTTTCCGAATCCCGAGTCCCGAGTCCCCGCCTCCCTCGCATTTGAATCGGGCTCAAGTTCATGCACAACGGTTCCAAGTAGCTTGAGTAGAAGAAGCAGTGCTCACTCTGTCCCGTTCAGCATTCCCCGTATGTACACTGTGTATAATCAACACTGTATATAACCATATGTATGTTAGTGTCGATTGTGCATGTTATTGTGGATAAAGCACATTGCAAGCACATTGCACTATACCCATAGGTATGTGGCCGCCGGAATCGTTTGAATGGATGATTGCAGTGACATTCAGTTCTAGTTCAATTGTAATCATTGCGGATCTTTACGAGCGCGCCCGAAGACCGACTCCAACCTTTTGCTTTTCCCTCCAACACCGTATGGCCATGGAATACAGAATGTGTATGAGTATACGGGTACAGTATAGTACTGCCCTACCAGTCGTCCGAATCCTTAGGACCAACCGGTACATATCACTGACCGAGCGTCCCGACGGCTCACGGATTGAATGATAAGTTAGTGCGATTCCTTGCTCCTCGGCACACTAGCATTTCCATAGCATGAGTCAGCTCTTTACTGTACCTATCAGCATCATCCTACCGCACTCATTAATCAAATTGGCCAATGCTTGTGTGGCCGACTAGCTCAGCTGGTTAGAGCGTCGTGCTAATATGCATAACTAGCCCATTTTCATACTACGCGAAGGTCTTGGGTTCGATCCCCACGTTGGCCAATAATTCGATCTGAGTTGATTGTTTTTTTCATGGTCGTTCCTTCAATGTACTTATATTATATCTTGCTAAATAGATAGCCTATCCTTAGGGACCTGTTTGTGATTTGGAACTACCTAGACCTCCTCTCGGTTTAAGAGCTTGTGCATCCCTATCTGGCATTAGACAAAAACCTCTATGATTCAAAACAATGGTGCATTTCGGAGACTTAGATGGGCTCAGAGAGAGTTGGAGCAGCGCGCTAATTAGACCAGTTCCTTCAAATATCAGGACCTTTGTACAGCAAGTGAAAATGATGACTTCTCATCTCCATTCTAGAATCTAGAGATGTAAAAGAGATGGCGAAAACAAACACTAAACAGTGAAAAGCTGGAGCTAATTCTCACTAGTATCATTCAACGCTGTTGTATTGAATGTATTGTTGAATCAAGTTGAGTAATAGACGGATCGCTGCGCTAAATCTATCGGGGTAGAGAACCTGGATGGAAGCACTCAAGGTCCCTCCGTCTTTCATTTATCTCGTGTTATTGGGTCGGATCTCTATATACATATTCGACAAACCGTCAATATGTATTCGAGTCTACCTACTGTAGAAGAATTCGGGACTCAGGCGACAATGACTCGTCGTAAAGGTCAAAGCGAGAAATATCGATGACTGACGTACACATTTCTGATCGCACTTGGTGCATACTCTCTGCGGACTTTAGGTACTACTACCAACATCTTGTTCTTGTGTAAGTTTCTCTACCCTCCAAGTGTCATGAATTGATTGACTTGATCTATTCAAGTAGCGTATTGGCTATGAAGATGGATGGCTCTATCTCTCCACATATTGGAGGATATCACAACGTATAAGTATTTTCGAAAAATAGTCGCGGGCGCTAAGTCATCTTCACATGTACAGTATTCTGCCTAGGCATAACTTCTCCATTCTAGATATCTAACGATGTAAAAGATCGAGAGATGGCGAAAACAAATACTGTATTCAAGCAGCATATTGGATATGAAGACGGATAGCCCAATCTCTCTACACTTTTCGGAACGTATCGAAAAAACGTCGCGCGCGCTAAGATATTGATATCTTCACACGTATCCGCCTCGTTATTTCTCCTTCGCATATCCGCTGGAAATCGAGGACAACGTTCAGCACCGTTCGTAGAGTGAAACAAAGACCTACGCTGTCACCAGATAGTGCCATATCCCTAACTCAGCCCAACCCAGTCACCATATCCTCAGTCACCAACCCGTCTCAGATGGCAACATTATACCACTGCCAGAACCGACACCAGCACCAGAACCAGCACCATCTGCAGCAGGGTGAGCTAGGAGTAATCGAAAAGTTACAGAATATAGCCCAACAGATTGAGACCCAGGTAAGAATGATTCGTCCTCTTGTACACCTTCACAGCGACAAGTTTTGACAACATTGTAGACTGGGAACCCTGGGGTATTGTTGTACGACAAGCCCTTGGAAAAGTTATCGGCAGAGACAAGGATGATCCTCAATATGGTTGTAAAGGAACATAAAGGTGCAACAAGTGCACAAAAAATAGAAATGCTGTGCGATCTTGGGGATAGACTGCAGGGGTTTGACGAGTGCGTCCCATTTGCTTGATGATACAGCCGATGCGGCCAATCGTTAACCAACATGCGTATATAGGATACTGGCCAGCTGCAAAGAATTGGTGGATATGCTGAATCGACAACCGGTGGTTAAGGCGATAGTTTTTAGGCCACGATACTTGAAGATGATAAGGGTGAACTATGAAGAGGTCCGGAAGAAAGGTGAAGAGATAGAGGTGAGTCATAGGTGCCTATGTAGATTTGAGACTTTGTGACCGATTATCGCATTCGTAGAGAGGGATCATTCGACTGAAGACTGGTTGGTATGCGCCGACTTCACGAGAAGAAAACGTACCTTCGAGCAATGAGGGGCAGCCAGATTCTTCGACGACGATATCCACACCATCACCAACTAACCAAGGAGCTATCTTCCAGTGCCCAGAATTCCCCCCTCGCGCGCTGGCCCAGTAAGGGCTTTGCACGCACCTTCGTCCGTTGTCCCGACGCCAACACCATCAGCACCAGCAAGACATGTAGCAACGTCGCCCACAACTTCATCTCGCCCAAGCAACGGTCGAAAAATCATCATTCAACAATGTGGCGAACGATTTTTACAGCACCATCAATGAAGACCATTCACGATGGGAGGGAGTGGGAAATATATATAACCAATGTGTATTTAACATTCACAATGGAGAGCAGGGTGAGTTGCCATGCTACGTGGATTTGTGTTGGTGAACTGATGCTGGTGAACGAGTAGTCATTGAAAGTGATGATAGGTCTGAAAAAGAATGCGGTTCCGAACATAATGAGGCCAAACTTTGTTTATTATTCCTGCCATATTTATTTGATTATCGGGTAAAGAAAGGGATAAAACCACTCACTTTGTCGGCTCTTTTTGTCTCAGCGCCTCAGTAATCCATTGAGACGATTGCCGGGACTGCGCTCTCTGCCTCCCCATCGCCTTCGTGATAATCTCACGGTGAGACAAGCGAAACACGACGCCTCGAGGGTGGCACAAGGTTCGGTAGTAGAGGCCGTAGCCGCGGTCGGAGAAAGAGTGTTGCCATTTGAAGTGACCAAATAAATAGTCACAGCGCTGTTGGATGGGGTCGAAGAGTACAACCCATATGGCGATATGGGTCGACCATAGCTTCCATGAGATTGATGACCACCACTCGAAGAAAGAGTAGGAAGACTAGAGCCATTTTCGTAGCCTGTAGATCCATTCCAATATCCCGATCGAAGGCTTTGCACCGAGTGGTGAGAAGGAGGATTTGCCCATTGAGCATATGAGTGATGATGTCCAAAGACGAGTTCTGAAGTTCACGGCTGCATGCCTTGTCCCAGCCTACACCTTGATGTTACAAGTAATGGCAATCCCAGCGTCATGGAAGTCTACCGAGTTGAAAGGAGCTGGCATATAGATTGAGTTGGTTAGCCTTTTTAAAACATTACAACTCACGAATCGAATATTTCCAGTCAATTTGGGTGGATCCCAACGTACTGAGAGTAACGGTGTTTTTTTCATGTGGGGGTTTGGGGAAGAGTGGCAAGACAGCAACGGGTTCCTTATCAGACCCGAGACTACGGATCCAGTTGCTGCCGTCAGCATCTCGAGATTCGGGAACCACAGTCAAACCACAGTGCAAGCAAGTATAAGATAAATAAATAATTTAATAAATAGAGTATTAGCCACACCTCGTAAACTCGCTCCACGTAGCATTCATTTCAGCTATCAAATTTCAGCATTCAACATTTCAGACAGATGAGGTTCCTGTAGCCGATTTTTCTACCTCTGGAAAAGCTTGGCGGATCTCTTTGGTGATCTCTTTTGAATCAAACTAGTCTACTAGATGTGGCTAATATGCTCAAATGTCCTACAATATTCAGAAGCATGGCCAGTTCATTTCTGTTGAACAGCTGAACTCGTAAAACCCAATGCAAAAGTGCTACTCTAGTATTATTATGCAAGCCATTTTAGGGGGATATATATTGCGCAAAATGTCACGTGTACCAAACACTGGGTGCCAATCAAGCCGGATTTGGTAAATAAATACAGAGTAAATACAGCGAAAAATTGAGCGTCGATAATACAGTATGATGCTGTATAGCCGCCGAGCTGCCGGCAGCTGGCAAGTCACAAGTGTCACCCATGCTTATGGTTCTTAACAATGCTCAGGCTGCAGCTGATACTTAGTTCCAATATCTCTGGATTTTCTGAACCTTATCTCTGCCTCCTGCCAACCTAATGCCAGCGCTTCTTCTGTTGGGAAGAAAGATGAAAATGATGAAGAACGAAAGCCACGGAGAACTCACAACTCCCAAAATAAGCAAGGAACATCCATTGTGCAAGGGTACCATCATAGTATGTGTAGATAAGCCAGACTGTGGCTAGATCGAGATAAGTAGAAGTATAATAATAAAGTAAATGTTTGATAGTAAAAATTATCTGGCTGGGCTTTAGCCCCGTGCTCCCGCCCGTGGTCGCTGGGTGAGCCGGACAACCCAAACAGAGCCAGAGCTCAATTGCGGAAGAACGGTGGGAATGGGCGAGGAGAAACCCAAACAGAGCTTAGGATCTGTATTGATAAAGCAGCATGACTTGCCAATTTGTTGTTGAGTAGGCAGATGAGATAAACTTGTAATAGTTGATAAAGAGATGAATCACTCACCTTTAGTAGAAAGATAGTGCCTGAGAATATGAATGCAGTTGGAGTGCAAGGAAATAATCTTGACTTTGGGAATAGTAGTCACACCGGCAATGATTATGTTGGATTAGACCCTGAGATGTGAGCGAAGGAGGGAAAAATCTGTATAGGCAGGGAACCTGCAGCAAACGCGCAAGGGTTCCGGTAGCGACGGTACAGATTATATAAGTAAGTAAGATAGGGGAATCGGGAAAATAGATAAAAAGGGCAGCGGCGGTGTAAGTGCCGGACTGGATACCAATCAATATTCCAACACACCCCCGCAGGCTGAGCACAAACAAGATGTGAATAAAGGTATATGGGAGAATTCACCCCCGCAATGCAAAAGCGTCCAGTTAAAAGGCAAAATCATCATTGTCCACTCCAAAAGCTTCTTCATCAACAAACTTTGCATGTCCATTCTGACCTTCGTGCCATTTCAAGAACTTTTTCCGCAAGAAGCAGTCTTGCTTCAAATGTCCCTTCTTATCACAGAAATGACATCTCATCTCCTCTGCTTCAGAAGAGAGTGCAACGTTACGAGGATCAGGTGTAGAAGTGGAGGAGGTGTTTCCGGGCTTCCCAAGTTCAGCTAGAATGAGCATAGATGATACATGCTCGAAAGTGAACTTCTCTGTGGTGAGTTCGGAGACGGTCGACACAACATGGGAATAGGTGGACGGAAGACCACTGATAAGAGCAATGATGGCATCATCATTGGAAATACTCATCCCCGAGCTCTCCATGAC